GTTAAAAAAGAAAAAAGTCTCTTCAAAAAACTACTTATGTCTAAATACAGAAGGCCAGTGAGATGGCTTAGCAGAAAAATATTGCTTTTAAAAAACTTAAAAAAAACACTAATAAATAAATTTTTTTGTCTTTTTGAGACAGGGTCTCCTTGTAGCCCCAGCTGTCCTGGAACTCACTATGTAGACCAGGCTGGCCTCAAACTCACAAAGATCCATCTGCCTCTGCCTCCCAAGTGCTGGGATTAAAGGTGTGCGCCACCATGCCTGGCAATAAATAAAATGTTTTTTTAAAAAGCAGGGAGGGCTGGAGAGATGGCTTAGCAGTTAGGAACACTGGCTGTTCTTACAGAAGACCAGGGTTCAAAGCCCAGCACCCACATGGCAGCTAACAACTGCCCATAACTCCAGTTCCAGGGGATCCGACAGCCTTCTCTGTCCTCCATGGGCATTGCATGACATGGGTGCATTTACCTAAATGCAGGCAATATATACATATACATAAAATAAAAAACAGTAAATAAAATATTTAAAAAACACATTAGAAAGAGTTAACAAAAAGGTAGAGAGGTAAAACCAAAACCAGTCACAAAAAGCTACACACTAGATGAATCTGTATGGGGGATGTACATGTGACATTCCTTAAAATGTTAAAAGGGCAAGAACCATGAACTGTGTTCTAAAGTGCGCAGCTCCATTGTAGAGGACTTAGAAACGACTTGGTCAAATCAAGAATACTTCTATTTAGACAGACAAGCATTTGAACACTTCACTGAAACACCTCAGTTAGATACATTATTTTCTTTAGGTTATAGATGAAAATTTTGGGGTTCTAATATAATAAAGGTCAGGGTTTTTTGTTTGTTTTGAGACATGGCCATTCTAGACAGTCCAGGCTAGCCTGGAACTCACGAGCTTCCCTGCCTTGGCCTCCCATGTATTAGGATGACAGGTGTGTGCCACCATGCCCAGATTAATTATCAGATGGCTGAGGATACAGAGCTGAAATTCTGCATTACCCACCTGTTTCATTCAACCTTATAAACCTCAATTTGCCTGTGATTTTCCAGTTACTAGACATGTTCACAGACATCTCAGTTAATCCTCATTTCTACCCTGCAGAGAAGTTTTCTGTACCTCATTCTAGAGAAGTGACAGAAAGGATTAGGAAAGGTAAGCCGGGCTGCTCTCCCCTGTCATCTACCACACAGTTTGCCTTGGAGAGACAATTTCTTCCCCTCCAGGATGTCCCAACAATTGAGCATATGTTTTATAACCAAATCAAGATGTTTCACTACAGAGCTATTTATCAAAGAGTGGAAAGGACATGGACTTTAAAGCCAGACACAAGGAAATTAATTCCACCTTATGACCACTTATCAAACAGGCTATATGACTATCAAACATGACTGTGGGCATGCTCAGTCTCCAGTGCTGTCCCCCCATGCCAACCTATTACATCACTAGTTAGTCCTAGCCAGACTGCTCAGCTACATCTGTGATCCCAGCACTCAAGAGTCTGAGGCAGAAGGATTGCCATGAGTTCTAGGCCAGCCTAGACTACAAAACAAGACCCTGTCTCAAAAAAAAAAAAAAAAAGTAAAAAGTCTTTACTTGTTCTGGAATTGATTCTGTTCATAATTCCTAGACCACCTCTCAAGCCTGGGTTAGAAAAAAAAAACCAAAACCCACAACTTCCCTTGTACTGTTCCTCCTCCAAAGAGCTGTTGGGCCTCATCTGCAAACAGCTGAGAGGCAGCAGTTAGCAGGAAACCAAAGGGGCGGGGCACAGAGTGTACCAGGGAATTAGTTAGTAGAACCAAGACCCATGGAACAGACAGGAAGCTGAAATTAAAAAGAACCTAGGCCAAGGGGCTAAAGAGATGGCTCAGTGGTTAAGAGCACTGGTTGTTTCTGTAGAAGACACAGGTTCAAATCTCAGCAACCACATGGTGACTAACAACAGTCCGTAACTCCAGTTCCAGGAGATTCAACGTCCTCCACAGGCACTGCACGACACAGGTGCACTTACACACATGCAGGCAGTACACTCATACATACACATAAAATAAAAATAAATAAAATTAAAAATTTGGAAAAAAAAAAAAAAAGAAAGAAAAGAAAGCACCTAGGCCAGAAAGTCACACAGAAGGCCTAGCTGATCTCCCTCCCAGCCCAAGAAGGAGGAACCTGGACAAGCAGTGAAGGCTCTGAACCCATGGAAAAGAAAGTCAAACCTGCTTCTGAAGCTGGGTCAGCCTTCTTCCTGCACTTCGCCCTTACTTCTCTGAAAGTAGATGCTGGCTGTGACAGGTCAGCTGAAGTCAGAAGCCCACCTTTCTCTAGCTTTTCAGGTAATCTGTACCAAAGGTCCACACTGCCAAATAAACTCGGAGAAGGCCAAACCAGCCTGGCACAGAGACAAAGAATATCTTCATAGGAAGTTACCAGCAGATTCTATCTGGGAACCTTTGGTGGCAAACCTAAGGCAGCAATACACTAGGCACGAGGAAGAGCAATAAAAGCAAGTGAACCAGTGGGACTGAAAACCCCAAAGAAAAAGGTAAGCTTCTTGCATCAAACTAGTGATACATTTTGCAATCAAGAAAATTAACTGGCAATGATCAGTTGCCAAAATATTTCTCAAAGAAATGGGGGGGCATTACTCTGTTGGTGTTATTTAATAAGCCTTTAGGTTATCCAAACATAGGGCAAAGGAGAGACTGGCTTAGTTTTCTTTTGCAGAGCCTACTGAGACCTTTCTGGTCCATACCTATGACTCAAGCAGCTTTCTCTCCCTATACATGCAGAAGTTTATATTAAAGAAAAAGAGGATTAAGTCTTCTTAAAAAAACACATTCCTGTCTTTCACCCCTGGTTTTGTTTGAAAAGGCTTTCTCAAAGCATAGCTTATGCTGCAATACAGTGAGTCTGATTCCAATGTAAGTGCTCAAACTTGAGACTAGAGGGTGCACAGGGCTTCGACTTCACTGTCATTTGTTTGTTTAAAAACAGAACATCTGGGCCAGGCGCCCAGCACTTGGGAGGCAGAGGCAGGTGGATCTCTGTGAGTTCAAGGCCAGCTTGGTCTGCATAGTGAGTTCCAGGACAGCTGAAGCTACAGGGAGACCCTGTCTCAAAAAGACCAAAAAAAAAAAAAAAAAAAACAGAACACTTTTACAGGCTCAGTGCCAACTCAAACTGGGAAGACCTGAGAATCAGAGCAGAGACTGACCAACATGCCATGTAAGGGTGATGGAAGAGCTATGCTATGGGAATAATAACCTTCACAGAGGAAAACGGATGAGGGGTACATTTTCAAGAACATAACAATGGAACAAGTGAACAAATCATTTGTTCCAAGAGGGGAGAATGCCACCCAGAGCCAACTATCTAGTAGTTTAACTTCAGGCAGATGAGTAATGCTTTAACTTGGATTTATCAGGGCTCATTATCTCCTCCTCTCCCCAAAAAAGACACAGAGGTAGAAGGATTGCTTGAACCTAAGAGTTTAAGACCCACCTCCTGGATAATATAGCAAGACCAGTGCCAAAAGACCCAACAACAAACCCCACAAAGGATGACACATATCTGTGAAAATGTTACAATAAAACCCACTACTTTGCAGAGGAGCTCAAAAAAACAGCTGGGCAGGGCAGCACACACCTGCAATTCCAGCTCTTACTAGGCTAAAGCAGGACCACTGCAAGTTGGAGGCCAGCCCAGGTTATATATAGTGAGTTCCAAGGCAGCCTGGACTACATAGTGAGACCCAGGCTCAAGACAAAACAAAACAGGATGAAGGAATAGTCCCATTCTTCTTTCCACTGTCTGGAGTTCTAGGAAACTTTTCCCATGCTGCTAGCAGAGCAGAGCTCACAGAAGCTCCCATACAGCAGGGCTGCCCAGGCCAAAACATGAGCTCACAGAAGCTCTGAGGTTGTGGCAGAAATCCACCTAAAGCAAGTGCCTAATAGACATACCATGTAGGAGAGGGTGGAAAGAATGGTTAACTCTGCAGGGCAAGGCATTTCTGCGACTTAGAAAAAGTAGTCTCTGTCCAAAGCTGAATCCCCGTTTCAGGACAATGTCTGGGATGTCTGTCCTACAAATCGGCATCTCACATATAAACCCTCTAATTAGAAGTGGACATATAGGCACATGCTTATGATACCTGCACCTGGGAAGTGGAAGCAGGAGGACCAGGAGTTCAAGGCCAGCCTCTGCTACATACAAGTTTGAGATGAGCCTGGACTACATGAGACCCTGGCTCAAAAAGAAAATGAAAACCCTCCAACTTGCCAGGAAAGTAGACTGCACTTCCAGCAGCGGGGGCTCCATAAGTGTTCTAGGAGCATCCAGAGGACCCTCCCTGAGGAGAGGGGGCATTGTAAAAGAACCCAGCCTCTCCAGATGTGGGAACAATCAGGCAAAGCAACCAATGGTTACAGAGCACCTAACACTCTAGCTCTTTCCATCCCATGAACAGCTCCCTAGAGGCAGATACTCTCACCCCCTCTTTGTAAACGAGTAAACAGACTCCAAAGCGTTACACAATCATTAAATAGTGGAGCCAGCGCCCTAGACACCTTGGACAGGTGATCTTAACCACCGAGTGTGGCTGGAAACACACAAAGCGATAGAAAGCAAGGAAGATAGAGCTGGGTTAAAACAAAGTGCAGCCTATGTATAGCTACACCTCTTTTTTGTCCAAAATTGGTGGCCCGCGGGACACCGGAGGAGGGGAGGGCCTGGATGGGGAACATGAAGCCGGAAGAACCCAAATACTGCTGACAAGGGAAGAGGCCGGGGCCCTCTGCGCCTCTCTCAACGCTAGAGAACCCCTCAGACCCATAAATTCCTAAAAGCCCCAAAGCTGAGTATGAAGTCAAAGGCTGCCCGGCAGCGTAGCCCTCCACGCAGGTTTAGTCCCAGGCAGGCCGGGGTGTAGATGGGGCCCCGCCAGCTCCGGGCATGGGGCGGGAGCATCGCCGGGTTCCTACCTGTAGGCCAGGGTCATGCACTCGAAGAGCTTGGTGAGCGAAGCGTCGATGGACAGATGGCAGGAGCTGGTCTTGCCAAAGCTATAGGTCTGGCACGTCTGCTTGTTGACCGTGTCGAAATCGTAGCCCTTCTTGGGCGGGTGCTCGCGGTGCGGAGACGACACCATAAAGTGGCCACTATGGATGATCTGCTGGCGGCGCGGAGGCTCGTCGCGGCCAGGCCCGGCTCGGGGCGGCAGCGGCGCTGTGCTCGCGTGGGCCCGGGCCGTGGTGGCCGCGCAAGAAGGGGGCGGCGGGGACGGCTCATCCGTGTCCGAGTCGTCGTCGTCCTCTGGCACCTGAGGCTTGAGCAGCCCTGGGCGGCCCCGACTGCGGGGCCGACGCGGAGAACACATGAAGATGTCGGCAGCCATGAGGGGAACCCGGCCCGGGGCATCCCCCGGGACCCGGGACAACACGGACTACGAGACTGAAGGGGCCTGGCCCTCTCACCGACTGCCCCGGAGCGCGCGGCCCGGAGGGGGAGGGAGCCGGCCTCCGCGTGACGTCACCAACGCTTCTGGGCCAATCGGATGCCCTCGTCGACCTCTTAAAGGTGCAGGGAAAGCTTTCCTCATCTAGGCGGACAAAAAAAAAAAAAAAGAGCCAGAGGCCACGCCTCCACGCCCCGCCCCTCGCCGCCCGCTGCCCCCGGAGCTGTTCTGGGAGCGGAGGCTGGGGAAAGCCGGGCCACGCCCGTCACCGTGTTTGCTTCTCGGGAGGCGTCTGCTCGCCCTCCCTCTCTCAGCCGCGCTGGCGGGCCCGGGCCTCAGCCCCTGCCCCGCCTCCGCCCCGCCCAGTACTCGGAGAATCGCCGGGCGGCCTCGCTCTAGGCCAGGCCGGCCCTCCACGTGGTGGTTAGGGGTGGGGCTCCTTCCCCAGCTCAGGCCCGCTTTCTCCCCTAGTACCCGGAACTGAGTCCTCAAAACCCCTTCCTGATTTTGTAGAGCGTTGAGACTTACATCTTCGTTTTACCGATGCTTAGATTGGTTTGCCTGAGCTCTGCGGAATGTTCCTAACGTTCAAACCAGACCAGGAGCACTTCTCATGGAGACCTCACATCCTTAAGTGGGAGCTGGCTCTGCCAAGTTAAAACACGTCCCCTCTTAAAGGGTAGAGTCCTGCTGGAGCCCAGCTGTCTGCCTCCAATCCCAGCAACTTCAACTATAAATCAAAATACTGTCGCTATTGTTTTGAAGTTTGGCCCATGAACAAATTTTGCGACCCTGTCTCAAAAAACAAAACTTCCAAAAAGGGAAGTTCTGAGTATAGTTTACTGTCAAAAGGGAGCAATTTCAATGCCTCAGAAAGTTGTGGGGAGCTAGAGAGATGGGTCAACATGTACTGCAGAAGTCCAGCGTGATTCTAAGTACCCTCCCTAAAGTAAGGCAGCACACAACCACCTATAACTCCAGCTCCAAGGGCTCTGAATCCTGGCCTACACAGGAACACACACATACACATGGCATACATACACAGTCACATACACAGACACACATAAGTCAAAATATAAAAATAGCAATGGGCCAGCATGAGAGCACATGTCTACAGTCCTAACAGAAGTAGAAGTAGGAGGATCAGAGGTTGCAGAATAGATCTGACTACATAGTGCATTCGAGGCCAGCTTGGACTACATGAGACACTGTCTCAAAATAATGTTTTTTTAAAAAAAAGACTGGCTAGCTGGGCGTGGTGGCGCACACCTTTACTCTCAGCACACGGAAGGCAGAGGCAGGCAGATCTCTGTGAGTTCAAGGCCAGCTTGGTCTACATAGTTCCAGGACAGCTGGGGCTACAGGGAGACCCTGTCTCAAAAAGATTAAAAAAAAAAAAAGACTGGCAAGATGACTTAGCAGGTAAAGGATCTTGCTGCCTAGCTTGATGACTTTAGTCCAGTCCCAGGACCCACATGGTAGAAAGAATCAACTCCCACGAGTTGTCCCCTGATCTCCACACCGTCATGGTGTTCCTGCCCCAATAAACAACTGTAAGAAATAAAAGATTTTTTTTTTTTTTTGGAAACAAGGTCTCCAGTTCCAGCTGGCCTGGAACTCAATATATAGATAGGCTGACCTCAACCTCTTAGAAGGATGAGGATCAAAGTGCTGGGATTAAAGGTGTGTGCCACCACACTCGGCAAATAAAAGATTTTTAAAAAAATAAATAAAATATAAAAAGAACAGAAATCTGGGTGTGGTGGCACACACCTTTAATCCCAGCACTTGGGAGGCAGAGGTAGGCAGATCTCTGGGAATTCAAGGCCAGCCTGGTCTACACAGTGAGTTCCAGGACAGCTGGGGCTACAGGGAGAACTTGTCTCAAAAAGACCAAAAAAAAAAAAAACACAGAATGTGGTGGTGCAGGCCTGTGATCCTGACACTCAGAAGGCAAAGGCAGAAAGATCAATGAATGTTCAAGGCTAACCTGGTCTATACAGGGAGTTCTAGGCCTGCCAGGGTGACATAATGAGGAGACCCTGTCTTAAAAGAGAACAGGTCCTGGAAAGATTATTAAAAGTACTTGGTGCTCTTCTAGAGGACATGAGTTTGGTCCCCAGTTACCTATGTGGTGGCTTACAACCGTTTATATCTCCAGTCCAGGGGAATCTGACACTCTTCTGGCGTATGTAGGCACATGGAGCACATCCATATGTTATCTGCAGGCAAACACCATTGACATAAAATAATTTTTTTAAAAAACAACATTGAGCACTGGACTTGGTGGCACACATCTTTAATCCTAGCACTCAGAAGGTAGAGGCAAGCAGATATCTGTGAGATTGAGGCCAACCTGGTCTACATATCGAGTTCTAGGCCAGCTGGAGCCAAAGGGGAGACCCTGTCCCAAAACACAAACAACAACAACGACAAACAAACAAACAAAAAAAAAAAACGGAAAAAAACACTGAAAACAGTAATGAGGGTTATGGGTGGCATAGGTGACAGTCCCCTACTTACTAGGAAGGTCAAGGCAGGAGGATCATTTAGCTCTTGTGCCTAAGGGCTAAAGACTAGCCTGGGCAGCATAGACTATATCACACCTTACAAAAGAAAAAGAAGCCAAACATGGTGGCACGTGCATTTATTTCCAACACTCTGGAGGCAGAGGCAGGCAGATATCTAGTCTACATAGTGAGTTCCAGGCCAGCTAGGAGTTATGGACAGTTGTTAGCTGCCATGTAGGTGCTGGGATTCGAACCCGGGTCTTCTCTAAGAACAGACAGTGCTCTTAACTGCTGAGCCATCTCTCCAGCCCCTAATTAATTTTTAAAGGCATTAAATTAATTACTTTTTAATATTTTATTTATTATTTTTATTTTATGTGTATGAGTATATTGCCTGCATGTAGGTAAGTGCACCTATGTCGTGCAATACCTGCAGAGGACAGAAGAAGCTGTCGGATCCTCTGGAACTGGAGTGATGGACAGTTGTTAGCTGCCATATGGGTGCTGGGATTCGAACCTGGGTCTTCTGCAAGAACAACCAGTGTTCTTAACCTCTGAGCCATCTCTCCAGCCCCTCCTTGAACAGAAGTCTTACAAGGTATGGTGGGATTAAAAGATTAGAATTCCTTGTCACAAACAAAGTTTTACAGGGGTTGAAAGAAAAGACTAATGTTTAATGTTTCTTACATTATCCACACTCCTGCTGAAGGATCTTTATGAATTCATATCTTTTTCCCCCTTGAATTCCTGAGCCTCTTGCCTCCACCTTCAGAGTGTTTGGATTACAGATATGTGTCAGCACACTTGGTTTTAATTCATATCTTAAAATCTACCCTCCAAGATAGAGCTTTACCTCAGCAGAGAGGGTACTGTGCTAGGAATTTCACCACATCATTATATTATTTTCAGTTTTTGTTTTTTGTTTTTTTTAAACAGGTTCTCCCTGTGCCACCTGCTGGCCTGGAACTCACTATGTAGACCAGGCTGACCTCAGTCTCACAAAGAATCGCCTGTCTCTGCTTCCTGAGTACTGGAATTAAAGTTGTGTGCCACACCATGTGTCACTTTTTAGTAGTTTGCTAAATTAAGAATGATGATGTAACACAAGTTTTCCCTTTTTCATTCCTTCTCTTTTTGACAAAGTCTTGCTGTGTACACAAAGCTGGGCCTGGAATCTACTTTGCAACCCAGGCTTCCCTCAAATTGGTACCTTTTCTGCATCAGTCTCCTGGATATGAAATTGCAGGCCTATGGACTACACTCAGCTAATTTACATCATTTGACAATTGAAAAAAGGATATAGTTCAGTGAGGCTACCGTTCAGTGATAGAACACTTACCTAGCATGCGCAAAGCCCTAAATTCAATCTCCAATACAAAAAAAAAAAAAAAGTCAACATTCAGTTAGCCTGGCACTCAGTTGTAATCCTAGCACTCAGGAGGTTGAAGATTGCTATGAGCCAACCTGAGCAACATAGTTAATTTCAGGCTAGCCTGGGCTACAGAGTACAGAGCCTGGCATTGTAGCATATGTCTGTATCCCAACACTTGGGAGGTAGAGGCAGGAGGATTAGAAATTCAAGGATATCCTTGGCTATATAGTGTGTTCAAGGCTATATGAGACCTTGTCTCAAAAGAAAAACAAAACAAAAATTAAAAAGTAAGGAAAAGTTTACTTTGGTTCATGATTTGAAAGGATACAGTCTGTCATGGCAGGCTGTGAGAGTGGAGCATGAGGAGGTTGGTCATATTACCTGTGTCAGGAAGCAGGAAGAAATGAATACTGGTGCTCAGTTCCCTTTCTCCATTTCCCTTTTGTATTCTGCCTGGGTTCCGAGTCTGTGAGATGGTGCCATCCACACTCAGAATGGGTCTTCTCTCCTCAGTTAAGCCTCCCTGAAAGCACCCTCACAGGCATGCCCAGAGGTTAGTACTCCTAGATGATTCCAAATACATCAGGTTGACAATGAAGATGAACCACTACACCAGTTTTTTTCCTTTCTATTCTACCTGATGTCCCCAGTTACACAGACTGAGCTCTCTGGAGACCAGTCTCCTCCTCTTGGGGATTTCATTTTGTGGCACTTGGATCTGATTTTCCTCTGCCTTGCAAAGGCACGTATTTGAAGTCAAAGGACAACTTGTCAGAGTCCTCTCTCCCCTTCAATCATGTGGGTCTTAAGGGATTGAACTCAGGTGATCAGGGTTGACAGCAAGTGCCTGTACCCATTGAGCCATCTCACAGGACCTTTTTGCTTTTTTAGACAGGATTTCACTTTGTAGCCCTAGGCACAAACTTGTAGCAATCATCCCTGCCTTTGCCTCCTAGTACTGGGATTATGGATTTGGATCATTACATTCATTTGGCCATGCCACACTTTTCCCAGGGTGCTGGGCTTTCAAACTCAGGGACCCATGCTTATGCAGCACACTTCCTGGCCCACTAATATGTGCCTCAGAATTCTGGTTTTGTCTGTTACATTTTGACCTATGGGTTATTTTAAAAACATTTTTATTGCCAGGCATGATGGTGCACGC